CCATGTTTATGTTGTTAAGAGGATTAGAACAATAAGAGGCAACAATAAGATACCCATCAGATACAGCACAGTCTTTCATTTACAATCTTATGATATTTTCATCAAACATTAAAAAAACTTCACTGCAGGAACCAGATCAAATATATTGCATGTTTAATACTTGCTGCTGTACAATAAAAACAAGCAAGATATTCAACATGTAAAGACAAACTGACACAAGAGCTCACAGGTTCTGTGAAAATGGATTCCCACATTTTTTAAGGGTTTATTGCTTTTCTCTGCACCTGAAAACTGCATAATAACAGATAGTTTTCCCCTCATTTGGCATTCAAAATGCTATTTACTGTGGAAAATATGCATAAAATAATCAAATCAAAGAAAAATTGAAGGAAGACAAGAGAAAAAGCAATGGAGTTTATACAAATGATCCCTGAAATACTTGTATCTGGAACAGTGTGGAAAACTAAAATCAGAGGGGTCAGATCGATGTGTTCTTCATTGTCCAAATGAGAAAATATCTGAATCAGAATGTGGACTGACAGACCCTCTGCCTCCGTGAACTTCTGCATATCTCCAGTGCACTTATAACATATGAAAAGATCTAGACAATGTCTCAATTAACAAACTAGTTGGGCTATTTGTGTGAAATTCCTCAATCGGATAAAAAAAAGCAGGAGAAAAAAGACTGACAAGCTGCCTGAGAGGCTCTAACGGGCTACAGGGAAAATCAACATAATGATGGGCCCCGGCCAACATGACGCTCCTCTAAATCAATACTTAATCTGGAGAGCAAGACAAGAAAAAATAAATCAGACGGTGCTAATTTAAAAATGTCAAATGGGTGAAGGATTTAACAGGTCATAGCCACATTTCTCTGCTAGAAACTGTGGTTTTAATTGCAAAAAGAAGCTAATTGGAATATGGATTGAATTTGATAAATGGAAAAAAAAAATAGACATCAAATTCCTCCGGAATGGAAGTGACTGACATGTGTGACAAGGTGCGGATATCATGTGGATGAAAGACTTTTTGGTTTGTTTGCTTCCTCACAGTCTGAGAGGCGGAGGACAGAGAGATTGGGGTTCATGTCTATTCATGGCCCCGGCTGGCCACAAAAGTTGCAGCCCAGACTCACATTCCGCTCTGCTTCCGCTCCAGCACACAAGCTCAATCCCAGGGCTTTCCCCTTTCACAGAAACACGCAACAATATCACCTCTTTTCAAACGAGGGACAGAGCGATGTGGGGAACTGATTGGAGGTACACCTGTCACTCACTCTCTGACACATTCCCAAATTCACCTTTCACCAGAAGTCAGAAAGATTTCCTTTAACATTTGGCTGGAGCTGCTCAATGGATGAAAAATGGCCGACCGGTTTCCAATGCGCATTTTCACTTGTGGCTTTCACTAAGACGTTTTCTGCGTCCTTAGTGCAGATGAGAGTGTTTTCTGACAAATTTTAAAGGCATCACGTCAAGCCCAGATAATTTTACTAAACGGCCAATCATTGACAGAGATAAAACAGCATCTTGATTCTTCTTGAAAATCAGCGAGGAGCCCAATTATGAGGCCCTACCGCGGACCACTCCCAACTACTGCAGTGTGGAAATTAGTTTCAAAGTGTCCAACGATGGAATTGGTCCTTATTCCAATAAAGGCTGAAATTCGGGACTCTTTGACAACTCAAGCAAAAAATAAAAGATCAAAATAAGGGCTGCTCTGCGCTGCCTCTAATGGCATTTGTTCAGTCTCTCGGAAACAAGAGAGGAGGCACAGGGACGAATCAGGGCTCTAACAATAAGCTTTAATAATAAAGACATTTCTCTGGGAACTTAAGCGTGATTGGCATCACTATCGGTCGGTGTTTATCTCGTTTTCGGGACGGCTCAGGGACTCGTACACAGGCTGCGTTCTGCGCGGACATCCAGACGCTCTTATTGGCACAGGGGCACACTTCAGTCTGGAGTGTCTGTTCTGAGCAGCTCTGTGGGACTGAGAGGCATCTCTCTAATTAGAGGGAGCCCGGTGCAGGACATCTCTAAAGGCCATCAACAGGGCCCTGCTTCGCTTTGTTTAGCAACTTCTTCTTACACTGAGGCTGTCACTTTACTTTTCTATAGGGCTGAGGGCTGGGCTTCCTAATGGTTTTGTTTGTGGCCAATCAGTGGAAGAGTTTGTAGATATTTTTCAGATATATATATGTATGAAGAAAGCTGTGCTACAATGTTTCCTGTTCCATTTGTTTTTGCTCTAAAATGGAAATGAGGTTTATTGATTTCGAAAAGTGTAGCGATGAAAAACTCCTGGGGAGGGACATTAAAAGGCGCTGCTTTGCTTTGTTTTTCTGCTTTAGCTGTCACGGTGTTTTAACGTGTAATTATTTCCAACTCATTTTTGCATAGAAACCTAATTATTCATTGAGATATAAATTAGATTCCACATTCATGGTCACCGCGAGCCCCCTGACTCCTTGCAGGACGCCATTCACTGGCGGAGCTCTTTCACTCCCCGGCTCTTCTTTTCTCTGCAAACCATGAGATTGAGAGAAGCCACTGCAGCTGCTGTTCACATCAAGCAGATAATTGCTAATGAAAAGTCATCGCGTGACATTATGTTGTCCACGGGATCATTGTTCATTTCCCCCCATCGCCACAGAGAGTTTCTATACGGAGGACCAGAGTTTGCCTTTGAGTTTTGGTATTCAGTATCTGTTGCCTGGAAACTGGAGAGGAGCAAATCAACTACTGTAGTGGCCAAGATGGGCAGCGGACTGGTCCTGCTCAACAATGCGGAGTTTGTAAAAAGGCGTTGATACAAGTTAATGATGCTCGTTCAACAAAACATTAATGGACTTCTTCACGGTATAATATGGCATGGGATGCCCTGTGAATGGGGAGGAGGGGGGGACTTGAACAGTGCTCTTCAACAACTTTGTGTCTTTTGCTCCTGGGAGGAGCTGTATGCACACACATACATGATACACACACGCACACACACACATGCACACACACTTTTCAACCTGTCTTTGAGACACTATAGATTCATATTCAAATGAAAATATGCCCTATTTTGATCATAGAAAACACATTTTATCAGAGGGATATGATCAAAACTTTGTTCAGAAACCCTCCCATTTAGATTTCATTTAAACGTTTTTGAATAGGCCGGTGATTGATTGCTCAACAGGATTTGAAAAGGGGCCTGAATAGTTGAGGCAAACTGCAGCACTATAAAGTGGAGGGCCCACAGCCCCGGAGAGAAAGAAGCTGACCACTGAGCTGTGGGGTCCTGGAAGTATATCTTATTCTGACATTCTTTTTTTTCATATTCTTTTTTTTTCATACAAAGTGTTTCCCCATGAAAGAGTAAAACTGCACCAGCTCCATTTATTTCACCAGCTTCTTAACCAAAGCAGACAAAAAAGCTGCAGCCCTGTCACCTGGAGCAGAATAAAGGGAATCAAAGGATTTTTTCCCTTAAATGGACTAATTTTCTCCTTGAATTATGAAAGTAATGGCTAGGTAACAGCCTGTGCTCAGTACCCCGACGGCTTAATGCTTCCTAAATCCTTCCACGTGGCTCCACTAGTCCTGGCAATTAGGCCTCATTATAGCCTCATAAAGGATCTCATTTGTGGGATTACTTAATAGACAATGAAATTTTATCGTGCAGAATTATAGAAAAATAATATTAGACCTCGCATGGTGTGATGAGGGCGCGCGCCACGCATCATTCCGCGTGGCTTGCTCGCTCTCCTCTCCCCCCCTTTGCCTCCTCTGTGGCCTTACGCCGTGCGTATCTGTACCATAACCACCGCGCATCATCGCTGTCAAACGCTGAATTCACGTTATTAGAGCAATTATCGTTTCTGTGACAGACACGCGCGTTTTATCTGATGGATAGTTGGATTTTAAAGACTTTCTAATTCTTCCAACGAGTCCCTTTTAAGGAGGCAGTTCAACGTTAACGTGCATGCTCTATAATGAGGTTTTGATCAATTTTTATAACAATGAGTAAACTAGAAAATGGGTACTTAAATGCACCATGGTTGTTCAGTTTGGATTTGTCAACTTCTTTTTCTTTTCTTCTTTTTTTTGAGATCACATTTGAATATTATACATCTCGAATTGGCCCGTTTGTGCCATAAACCCACTTGTCGGCTATTCTGAAGGTTTGCGGCGCTACTTGGCAGATGAAAGCGAAAACTAAACCTGCCAGTGACCCGCCCGGGGGAACAAACTCGCTAATTATTGTCACAAGATGAGGGATTAGCGCATTTCTGAAATAGCTGCCTGTTTACCCCCTCACAGACCCGCTATTATAAACACTTTCTAATTGAATCCTAATCGCCGTCAAATAACCGCAGTCCAGACTCGCCATCACTTCATAATTCTTTAATTGCTGGAAGTGAAACCTGGACCAACCGGATTCAGAGTATGATTAGGCTGTAAAGCAATTAGTACTTATGAGCGCGTGAACAATTCCTTAAATCGCATTTAGGGGAAAATGAATTGACTGTTTGAAATAAAATAGGTCTGGCTCCTGTCCATCATATGGCTTTCTTTATTTTCCAGACTTATTTAGCATCATGTTGAGGAAGGAATTAATATAGCCTAATCTAATATAGGGAGCGTCATCAAACACTTTTATATATTTTTATTGTGTTTTAAGACGTGGTAATATTGTCAAAGTGTAGTAAATTGATCTAATATGAAGTATTTCCAAATTGCATTCTACCTGATTCATTTATAATTTCTGAAATATGTTTTGCCAAGGCCTCGTTTAGAATAATAGATAGAATCTTAACTATGTGATTCTGCAGAAGTGTGCCAGTGCCTGACCAAAATATAAACTTAAATTAAGCGAAAAGAAAATACAGCCCACAGTTTATAATACTTCTTTTTTCAGAAAATACTTTTTACGTTCATTCTCAAGACTGCTCTGAATTCAGGACGAAAAGAGTAAATCTGTGTTGATTGGAGACCCAGAGAAAAAATCACGTGGTTTAGGTCACTGACAGCATAAACCCTTGGAGCTGGGTGCGCACGTGGGTGACGCTGTAGGGCCAACCCTCCTCCGGGTCCCTTTTGTTGAACCATCAAACATAAGCACCTTTGGAGATCCCGAGGGGTTCAGATGAGAAACAGTCGTCATCTTACGCACCCGAGCTATCCCTTATCCTCCGCGCAGTCATGTCGAGGTCTTTCTACGTAGATTCTTTGATAATCAAGGACACGGTGAGACCTGGACCCGCCGAGCATCCAGCGCAAGACTTCCTCATCCCCATCAGCATGCACTCCCCGAGCGTGATGACGGTCAGCGCTCCGGTGTGTCCGTCCAGGAAAAACGGGACATTCTGCGTTTGCCCGCTGTGCGTCACGTCCCACATCCACTCGTCCCGCGGCGGCATTCCCATGCTGAAGAGTCAGTTCCCTGGAGCAGAGGCGCAGTACTGTCAGAGGATAGCTCAGCAGCAGTCACCGGCGCTCGCGCATCATGGACACACACCTGTTTGCACGCCCACCTTCAGCGTCACAGACCCCAGGAGATACCACTGCCTCTCTCTCGGTAAGCACCCTGTTTACTACTAACTAAGTCACCGTTTCGGCACCTGTTGATTTTTTTTTCTCGGTGTCAGATTCAAATCAGCGTGCTGGCAAACAGTTTTACGCATGGAAATTTGCGCGCGATAACGCGCGTATTTTCCGGTGGGATAAAAAATACAGTTAGGCCCCTGACCAAAGTTTTTCGTTTTTTTTCTCTTCCTACAGGTGCTTCTGAGAACAGCCACATACAGAATGGCAAGAGGATGCGGACGGCATTCACCAGCACGCAACTTTTGGAACTCGAAAGGGAGTTTTCCACAAACATGTACCTCTCCAGACTCAGGAGAATCGAAATCGCCACGTATTTGAACCTGTCGGAAAAGCAGGTGAAAATCTGGTTCCAAAACCGCCGAGTGAAGCACAAAAAGGAGGGGAAGACTACCCAGAGGAGTGGTGCCCACGGCGGGTGCAAGTGCACAACTGCTCACACGGACTATTCGAGATCAGAGGATGAGGAGTCTTTATCTCCGGCCTCTGTTTCCGAAGAGAAAGAGGCTTTACCCATGTGAGGGAAAAAACTAGCATCCCCGAGTCCCAAAACCTGGCACTTACTCTGCCCTGCATGCTGCAGTAATGGGCCGTGGCAACTACTGAGCCAAAAGTCTCCTGCATGAAAATAGCTTTGACTTGCTCCTCACCTTGTGTTTCCTCCAGCTGTCAATTACAAAAAATGACCTAGCTGTATATGTGAGGTATTGGATCCACAAACCACTGCATGTAATAGACTGGTATATGAGCCTTCTTTGGGTACACACCTTTATCTCTTCATAAATACTTCTGGTAAATCTCTGACAGATAATGAAACACTGTGCAAAAAAAGCCCTTAGTACAGGTCTTACCGTTAGACCTGGTGCCTGAACAAAGTAAGTTGTAAACATTGTGTATATCTGTATTTATTGTAATAAACACGACGAGTTAATAAGAGTTTGTGGGTGTTTGGACTTTTTGTAACACAATTATTCAAGTATTTTGAGGTTAAATATGAAATATAATGCATCATTGTCTGAATAAAAAAAAGATATGATGATTATAATATAATTATCATCTATTATTCAATAAGTATATTAATATTTAAATACCAAGGCCCTCTAGGAATACCATGGGGTGGAGGGGTGGGGGGTATACTTGGTACGATGTCATTACAATATGAGCTATAAAACAAACTTTAAACAAAGTAATAGATTTCGATCTGTTTGTTGGATCCAGTGAATTTATCATTATCAAAGCAGAACGTTTCGACTGGCGCAGTTCTGCTTCTTGAATGTGTTTTACAGCACTCAACTTGTTTGTTTCTATCATGATAGCAATTCTCCATTAAGCCCTCATTACCACCCCACACCTCAGGGCTGAATGGGTGCGTGTTTTATTCAGACACTTTAGGTAGAGGCTGGCTTATATGATTTGGCCCGTTTAATGCAAAATGGATGAGCTTTATGTAAGTGCAGCTGCAATTTCTCCTTAGATCGGACCACAAAAGGGTACCCGATAACGCCCACCGGGGAGCAGCCAATCGCCCATTAATGTTTGCCTTTGAAAAGATTTGAGTCGTCCAAAGCGAGTTTAATTGCGTTCTCGGTCTCACGTTGGCTGATTATGCTCCTATTGCCTGAAACCACAGAACGAGGATATATAGAAGTGGGTAAAGGCTTTGACAGGTTAGATTGTCCTGCCCTGGGACTCGCATTTAGCCCCGGACCCCCGACGGTTTTGCGCTCAGAGAGCTTTGAGGGACAGCTACAGGGTTCCTCCGAGCCACAGAGAACGTTTTAGTCACTGTTTCATTAGGCCCTATTTGAACCTTTCAACTTATGTTGAATTAAAGGGGGCATGCTCAAATGGGAAGGGATTACGTGGGAGGAGCCACTGGAAATTAGCCGACGCCTAATTTAACTCGTTTCTGTCAGAGTTTGGGATACATTCCTAATTGAGAGGGGAAGCAGGTGAAGTTTTGGTCCCACGCAAGTCCATTCAGAACAAAAATAAATGGTCTCCTTTCACATCCCGCTGGTGATCATATATTACGGGGGAAAGCCATCTAATGAATATATATTGAACTTCTTATTAATCGATTTAGAGGTCCCTTGCAGGTGTGAAGGACCATTGCAACATTTAGAGGCATTAACAATAGTGGAAACCTCAGTTTTTTAGAAAGACTACTCCTTTTCAGCCCCAGAGGACATGACCTCGGACTGTAAGGCCACTACAATGGATTGGAGCTAATTTGAAGACAGGTCCACGTGTCCAAGTCGGGACGGTCTCTCTCATCCCTGATGAAAACTTCTGCTTTTACCCTTGTTTTTGAACCGTTTAAATTCAGGCAAAGCAGGAAATTGCGGACCCTAAACTTACACGATTATCCAGTTTTACCTGATAATATACATAGTCAATCTAGAACACTCCAAAGATGTTTGGCCACCATTGAAAACGTTGCAATTACGCATGACAAAAGACAATTAATAAGAGCGCTTTTCAGCCAGTTGCAGCTGCTGTCTCATGTGGAGAGATAGAGACTGGAAGAAGCTGAAGTACCTGAATGGAAGAGGGGGGTAACAGTGTTGCCTCTTTTTTCAGAGTCGTCCAGTGAATCACTCCAACGTTCGCCTGGCCTACATCTCCAATTCAAATCCCATACAAACAAGTGTGAAGAGCCTTGAGAGAGGAGGGTATTTTAATAATGGCACATTTCTGTTCTGTCAAACATGTATCTGATAGGATTGTAGTGACCAATGAGAGAAAATGTGGATCAATTCAAGCTATGGATCGTGGTACTTTGTGATTTTTTTAAGGGAAAAATATGAATGAATGAGTGTGTTATATTGGCCTAAATAATGTGATAGTTGCACAAGATGGTGAGACAATGTTTCTTTTAGATAAACTTTTTAAAAGTCTATTGATATGCATAATAAATACATTTAGGTTAAAACGGATTAATTTGCTTTAATTTTTAAACTCAGAATGTATTCAGTTAGTGTGGTATATAAGATTATTCAAACTTTTAAAGGTTTTAAATCAAAATGTGAATTCTTTGAGTTTAAATTCTCGTTTTTTATTAGATAGATAGATAGATAGATAGATAGATAGATAGATAGATAGATAGATAGATAGATAGATAGATAGATAGATAGATAGATAGATAGATAGATAGATAGATAGATAGATAGATAGATAGATA